ATGGAGTTGTTATTCACTGCTGAGTCATTTGAAGTCAATGATCTTCACAATGCTATTGAAAAGAAGTATAAAAGCTATGTAGAAAAGGTGTTTTGGACAGTAAATTCTAAGGGATATTTTTGAAGATGCACTCTGTAAGGAAGTTGCTTGCTATGCTCATTTTAGCTTATGAACACCGGTACAGGTGGAGTAATTCATAATCAGCAGCGTGCATTCACTGATTGTTGCCTCTTTTACCATTCATGCATTCTGAATACTTAAGAAACAGATTTTTATTTTTATTTTTTTATCCTCTAGATGAAGGGATTCTGTGTTAGGTTTATGTTCTCTGATTGAAGAGCGTGTGTGTGTATGTATGTTTTACATAAAGATTTTGGTATGGAAACTTGAATACAAATTTGGTACTCCATAAAATATTCTGAACAGTTTGATTTGAAGTATGCTGTACTTCCTAGAAAGAGGGTAAAGCAGAACATAAAAATTTGGTGAAATGACAACATCAATATTTGGAAAAACAATAAAATTGTTTTGTTTGCTTTGGATAAATAACAGATCGTTCAGTAGAAATATTTATAGCAGCTTTGTGCATTTAGAAAGCCAACTTTGGTGACATACCTGGTGTTAGAAAACTTTTGACACCATCTTTAGATTCTCTATTTAGTGCTACTAAAAATTCTATTTTCTATGAAAATCTATGAAAAGTTTGGTCAAATTGAGTATTTGCAAAAGATCTTAATTTGCTAAATATTCCTGTCATCTCTGGTATTGTGATGTTTACTTGGTTCTTAATTTTATATTTTACATATTGTTTGGAAAACGGAAAGTGTTATTTTTCCTAACTTGAATATGGTTGGGTTGTTGCGTGCTTTGCATCCGCTGGGTTTGAGACGGTTGAGGACTGTTTCTTACAGAGTCTCTGGGCTCAAAACTTGTTTATTCAAATATGGGAGAGAAAATGCAAGAAGAGATGATCCTGGGTGTGGATTCAAGTTACACCTATACAATGTTAGTGTATATGTGGTTGTTAATTCATAAACCGTGCGCATCTTCTCTAAAGATTTAATAAGTTGAGGTTGCTGCATTTTAACCATAGCAGAATTAAATAGTTTCTCCATCACAGATATGTGTAAGCTATGATTGAAATGTAATCTGATAATACTTTGCTTTGAATAAAACCGTGAGAGTGGAAAGGCTGTTTAGCAAATTTCTGGTTAGTTTTATAATAAACTTCAGGACAGGAAAATCTCTTCGAAGTTCTATCTTGATGAAGCTTAGTAAACAATAGAAGAACACAGAATCTTGTAATGAAAATTAGTTTTGCAGATGAAGGAATATGTAACTCATGCTTTCAAGCAGAATAAACAAAAGTTTTCGGGCTGAGTTTAATCCGAGTCCCTGTGACGGTACACTGCAAACGAGCTGGGATTTCTAATGAGTTTACAGTGAGTTTACACTGCAGCATACTCCTCTACAGCTGTCTTCCTATTATTTGGGCTTAGAATATGAAACCCTTCACTGTTGGTATTCCACGCACTTTGGGGAGATACAATTTTGATATTTGGCTTGCTACAAGGGGAGGTAGAAAATTTACAGTTGTAATAATGACTGTGCTAGTAATGGGTTGCTAAATTCTTTTGTTTTTTTTTTTCCCCCTAAATAATTTGTTTTAATGAAAAGTTACCGATTTCTACAGGAGAAAATTGTCACTAAGATATTTTTAGCCAATTTTAGCAGAAAATAAAACCATTTTGGTTTGCTGCCTTACTATTTCAGAGACGTTTAGTTTGGGTGCCTCGTTGTGCTCTGCCTCTTGGTGCTCCTCCAGCTTTCGTGCCACGTGGCAGGTCATGGCACGAGATTCCCGGAGTCCCCTCTCCCGGAGTCCCCTCTCCCGGAGTCCCCTCTCCCGGAGTCCCCTCTCCCGGAGTCCCCTCTCCCGGAGTCCCCTCTCCCGGAGTCCCCTCTCCCTGCCCACGCCGGGGCTGCCGTGAGTCAATCTGAACGTGAACTGTATGGCTCCCTGCCCGGGCAGGGAGATGATGCATGTGCTGATGCTGTATTACGGAGGGGTGGTCCTGGTTTTCGTGCCAGTGGCAGGTCATGGCACGAGATTCCCGGAGTCCCTTCTCCGGGAGTCCCCCCTCCGGGAGTCCCCTCTCCGGGAGTCCCCTCTCCCTGCCCACGCCGGGGCTGCCGTGAGTCAATCTGAACGTGAACTGTATGGCTCCCTGCCCGGGCAGGGAGATGATGCATGTGCTGATGCTGTATTACGGAGGGGTGGTCCTGGTCTTCTGGATAGTGTCTGTAAAGTCCTTGGAGCTAGTACGGACCCTTAAATACAGCTTTGGAGGCAGAAAAAACCCAAAGAATTCCTCTTTGCTTCCGGAAGGTGATCAGACTGAAGGATGGAGCAAGGACGAACTTCCTTCACCTTCTCATCACTCCTTTTCCTCCTCAGAGACGTTCATCCCTTTTTTGAGGAATTCCTTCCTTTCCATTTATGTTGTATTTCTCAGGGAGAAGGACATTGGCCAAGCTCCTTTCTGTGCTTCTTACCTGTTTTTCCATGGTTTCAGCAGTCATGCTGACTCTCTTTGCCTGCTCCCTGCTGCTATTTAGATAAATTCATGCCCTCTGCTTCTTCCAGCAAAAAGGAGGCAGAATTTATTTCCATAAACAACGTTTGCAGCTTGAGGGACTAGCTCTTCAAATTGCAGTCTCTGAGGAGTCTCATCGTTTCTCCAGAAAGTGATGATATAGCAGAGTTTAATTACCAGCCATTAATCCCAAATATTTTGTGTTCGTATTATGCGTTACATAAATATACCTTATGAAATGTTCCGAGAGGAATTTAATAGCATTTTATAATGTGTGCAATGCAGGTTTCCAAGCAATTCTGTGGGTGAAGCGTAGCTGCGGAGAGGTGCAGCATTGCGCTAAGAGGCAGCTAAAAGCACAGCACGGCTACGCTCTTCTCACACTTTATTTCTTTCCGGTGGTACTTCTAAATGCTTTTGACTGAGAGATGTATTCTCTCAGATAAAATTCTGCCTATTAGGGAACATCTATAGCAGTGTAGTCATCAATTCCTTTCCCAAAGCCAGGTGAGAGGAAGCAGCAGCTCTGCTCAGACATGAAAAAAGGTATCTAACAGCATCTCAAGCATGCCTGTAGTGCTGGTGCCACAGCCTGTTTAGGTCCCGGGAGGATGCTGCCGACCGCAATGCACGTTAACCGCTGAGCCCGTCATCCTTAGGAGATCGTGTCGGACGCAGAGGGCTTCAGAGTCGCCACGTTTAAGATTTAAGCATCCATCTGACGGCAATTTCATCTTCGCATATAATCACAGCGAAAGCTAATAATTTCTTCCTGTTGCAGCAGGTGCTACTTCTGATCAAAGGGAAGGATAAAAAAATCTATCAGATAATACTGCAAAGTGTTCTTCGCTCAACTGAAGCATAAACTAGAACTGCAGAAACAAAATTTCTGTGCCCAGAGTCTGTAACGTTTCTGTTAAAAAAGCCTTTTATGTAAATTTCTGCTAGGTGGTTCTAGCAAGCCCTGATGTCCGATCTCCTTGGAAAAATCATAGTTTTTTTCCTTAAGAAGTCACTTAGTCTACGTCCTGTGCATTTTGTGGAAAAGGGTTTATTCTTCTAGCATTTTATTTTTTTGGTTGCAAAAATAAAATGATTTAATTACTCCTCAGCTAGCGGAGAAGCCTTCATAAGTGACAGTCTTTCAAGATACTAAACATCAAATGTTTCAAAGTAATTTTGTTACTAAAGATGAAAAATGAATGTGATGGCAGCAAAATAAAACCGAGATCCCTTCGTTAAGACAAAACGGTAACGTCGGAACATGGCATAGACGTACACAGCTTGAAAGGCACCGTGAGCATCAGTTCCTGCCCGCTGCGGTCCGGACGGTGCCGGCAGGACTGCGTGTGTGAGCCGCCTCCGGCAGGACTGGAGGCACGGCAGGGTCGGGTTCTGCTAGGTCGCGAGAGGAGCGAGTAACGGTTACTGCTAAAGACAAACTAATCAGTATTAATTAGTCAGCCTCAGTCAAGGGGCTCATTTACAGTGCGAACGTAAAATTCATTAAAAATTCAGGTGTTTCTTGTTCTGTTGGTTGATACAACATCTAAGTCAGAAGTAGCTGGGAGGGGAACTGTTCTCTTCTGCTCAGCTGCGCACTGCGGTTGGAGAAGGAAACTGATGGTGGTTCTGTCATCTTTTGGTGGGCTTTTGCTTTAGAATAATGATTATAATTATTTGTATACGTGGGATGCTTCCTTTCTTTTCATATACTGTTTCCTAAAAAGCCAGACTAATTCCTTGTTTATTTTTGTGTGCTTGTATGAGATGATACTATAATTTTCCTTAAAATTAAAAATTGACCTTACAAATATTTCTCAAAACTAGTCTTTAATAATATGTGTAAGATACTCTGTCAGGGTTGGGATACTGTATTTTTCAGGATGGATTTTTTTTTTTTTTTGTCACTGAAGATTGATTTATCTATTTACTTACAGGGATGGGATTATGCTATCACATGCCCGGTAGTTAAAACTAAATAAAAAATAAAAGAAGTTGGTTAGAATTAGTTTAATATACACGTTCTTCAAATATTTTCAACAGCTATAAAAGTGTTTTCCAAACCTTTTCTGTTTGCAGAATCTCACGGAGAATCTGGAGCTACGCTTTGTAATTCTGGTGTAAATCTCTTGAGAATAGTCATTTACTGTCACTGTGATTACAACCAAGAGCTGCAAGTAGACAAATCTGGGTTTTTTAATCATCTTGGAAAGGATCTAGACATAAATTCAGATCCAGATAGAGATAAAACCTCACAGTGGAGCGTAGAGAAAATTGTGATGTGCTATTACTTTTTTTAACAATCCTCGCTGAACGCCGGAAATTGCGGAGCCCTGTTGGTGAGGAATAAGACTGCCGCCCACAAACTAAAAGTTGGCCTTTTGCTCTCTTGTGTTACAGCTGTTATTTCTCGAAACCAAGAAGGACCCGGAGAGATGGGAAAGGCTGTGCTCATTCCGAAGGATGACCAGGAGAAGATGAAAGAGCTGTTCAAAATCAACCAGTTCAACCTTATGGCCAGTGACTTGATTGCCCTGAACCGAAGTTTGCCCGATGTGAGATTAGACGGGTGAGGCCCCGCGGTACCGCGTGTCTCGGTGCCACCTGCAGAGCCGCCGCACGGGCTGCACCCGCCTCCGGCCCCCTTTCCAGGCGCGAGATACAGCGCTGTCTCACGGTTAATTAACGGGCGTTATTAGCAGTGATTGCCTAAGGAAGCTATTTGAAAACGCCGGGCTTTACCGGTTCTAGATTTGGCTTCGAACGCAAACTTTCTTAGGGAGAGAGTTACTGCATCACGGACGTTATCATCCTGTGCAATTTGTTTTGTGAAGAGCTGAAAATTGTCAACTTAGAGCAGTCAGTTTACTTTGCAGCACATAACAAAATGCCCTCCGGTGTGTCTTATCACCTGGAATAATTTAAATACTTTTTCTTCAGGGAAAACTTTATTTCTGAGGTTTTAAAATGATAAAAATATCAATGTCTACTCTATAATTTTCATAATTATGTTGTCGGCATTTAAAAATTGACATTTTAGTGCTGATAAAGAGAAAATACTGCCAATACCAAACACTACCTGCAGGTTATAGTTTTCTATCAGTTTTATCCACAGACATTTCCAGAATAATTAGAATTTTATAGAACATCTTTCAAAATGTTTTGCAACAATATAAAAACTGAAGGGAATTTTGTGGTTGGGGGTTTTGTTTTGTTTTTAAGTCTAGTGACTTATAATCATTATTGAGCGAAGCCTGAAGTTTGTGTGGTGACTTTGAGACTGTGCAATAGCTTGGGGGAGTGTTTCACCGAGCCCATTGAATTATTTTTAATGGAATTTACAGATTAATTTTTCCAGTCACAACCATGGGCTTCTGTTTACACGTGTTTGATGTGGAAGTACAAATGTGCGTGTTTATCTCCATTTAAATAGGGATTCCAATTGCTATCCAAAGATTCTGTAGCAAGTTATGGTACTTGAAAAAAAAAAAAAGTCTAGGTCTGTGGTGTTCATTGTTTTCCGTGGTCAGGGAATTTCCCCCTGTCTCCCAGTAGCAGTGTTAAAGCTAGCCCGTGGAGTAGGCTATCAAGCCCATTTTATTTAACTTGAACCTTTTGCATGAAGGGGCATTCTCCTAAGAATCTTTAACTGAAATTGCATGCGTGGAGGATTATCCAAACTTACATGCTTTTGGAAGTAAATTTTTAGAGAGATTTTTTTTTTCCCCCCGCTTAATTTTTATAGAAACTGAGCGTTGATTGAATTTTATCTTTTTCCAATTCAGTTTTTTTTCCCTGTTCTCCTTCAGCTACGTAAACGGTCTGATTCTTATAACAAATAGAAATTTAGAGGAATGTAAGCGTGGCTAAATATATACAAGTGGTCAGGTCTTCTAAAGTCTCCCATTACTTTTGCTTTTTAAACTGAATTGTCACTTAGCTGAAATCCTGCTTATTATACTTTGTTGGAAATTAAGTTCTTCAGGTTCCCATGAAATTTAAAATAAAATAAAGACTTTGTTCCCTGGATTTTGTTTGTAAATGCCTGCAAATAATAGAAGTAGAAGCACTACTTGAACAATAGAGCTTGTTCACAAACAACATAGGTGATGCTTCCCCACGGCATGATCATTTGTGATTTGGTGATGCCAAGTTTCCGCAAAACAACGCCTCAGACCGTTGCCAGCAAAGGCGCCTTTCACAGAACGGAAGCACTGGAAAAGCTTTATCGCTTATTGCTTGTTTGTTCTTTACTGCTTGCCCTTTTCAGGAGTGCCGAGGGGAGTCACGGTCAGCTGGTGGAGCTGGCTCCAGTGTTGAAATGATTCCAGCAGGCACCTTGCAGGCTTTCTGGGAAGCGAGGAGGACGCCATGCGCTGCTGGGCTGGGTTTTCCCTTGCTGCTGCCTAATTGTTTTCTTGCACCGTGATGCTCTCGGCAGCTGGCCCGGCTTACATTTAAACTGCCCGAGTCAATTCAGTGTTACGTGCTCCTCGCTCATGTAGCCTTTGCAGCCCACAGAGAAACAAGACCCGAGAGTTGCACGCACCAGAACGAGGGGGGCACTTGCAAAGCCTCTTGATCTGTTTTGGAAAGCTTTGTCCTTTCCCTGGGAGCGTTGAAAAGAAAGTGCATATTGGAAAAACGGGTGAAACGTTCAACTTAATGAACAGTTCTGCTCAGTCTAAGGGAGATGAGCTATTTAATACTGAGAGAAATCTGTCTAAATGCATTTTCCTGGTGAAAAGAAGTTTCATATTCTTTGTTGAAAAGACAGAAAGTATTACGGGATTTAGAAAAAAAAAAATTCTTTTCCCATTTTCCTCTTCAGACAGATGCTTTCTGTACATGTTCTGTCTTTAGGGAGTATTAAATTGTTCTGAAAGCCAATTTATAATGCTTTGCTATTAAGGAAGAATATGATTTTATGGTTAATATATTTAGTGCATGACAGAAAGACGTATTTTTGTTGACATGGGGGACAGAGGCATCTGATTTGCACTGGGTGTCTAACTCACTGTACCTTTCACATTATAGGTGCAAGCTTTTCTTTCGGAGGCCAGGAAGTTTTCTGTGGCAAAATTAGATGAATAGAAGAGAAGAAAATAAAAAATGTTCTTGCTGGACATGCTGTCTAGTGGAAGTTCATAATAACCTGTGTAGCTGTGGATACTGCTGTGTTACGAGTAATCATGAGCTGACGAAAAGGTCAATGTTATCAAGGTGTAAATGTATTAAATCAGTGTATTGCACTAAATGCAGCAGAAAACTCGAGGCCAGAGAGACGAAACTCTGCTGGAAGATGGTCGGGATAAGACTGACTAATTGTAGGGCAGTAGCAGAAGGGGAGCAGGACGAGGGCAGGCTGCGTCTGCAGCGGGGAAGCGGCTGGCGCAGCGCTCGGGGACGGGATCCGCCCCGTGGAGCTCCGCATCGCCACTGAGTTATTTGCAGATTGCGCGCTGGGAAGCGGCCAAGCTGTTCTCCATTTCTGTAACGATGCCGGGGGACTAAAGGAGTGAAGGGCATTTATACAGGACTAATTAACTCTTGGCATGACTTGACCTTTTTATTGTATCTATCACATGTCAACATTTCGCTGCGTGTAAGTGGCGTTTTCGCGTTTCTCTGAACGCATGCCATGCCATTAAGTCACAGGCTCCGTTCTGGCTGCCTGCGCAAGCAATTAAAAGGATTCATGTGCCGTTGGGGTTGTGCGGGTGTCTCTGGGGGCGAAGGGCAGTCACAGCTACTGGCAGCGCTCCTGAGCACTGCTCCTCTTCTCTGTCTTGCACGAGATGTGCCTGAGAGTTGCAGCGACTTTCAGTCTTGGGCTGGTTTAAGATTGAGATGTTGGAAAAGCGGCTGAATGCCTTTTTTCTCAGTGATGTCCTCTTCCTGCTCCCGGTGGTGTCAAGTATAGGCTTAAAGCAGAAAATGATGTGTCCGACTTCCCGCACCCTGTCTTCGATGAAAATAAAACCTCAGCTTACCCATTAGTCCTGTGTTTAGAAGGTTTTATGATTTCTAACTGCGGTTTAACCCTAAATGCAAAGTGTCATCTCCTGGTGAGATTGCCCACTGCCTTTATATCTCTGCGAGAATTATTTAGATTTGTGCATTATAATATTATGTCCATGTAGCAAATGAATGTCTGTAAATAGATGTAAGAATTCTGATAAGAAACAAACAGCCCAAGAAAAAGAAGAGTCTTGTAATGTCTCATTCTAGAAATTCATTCTTCAGTTACGCTGCAGTACATTTATTGGCAAAGTCATTGGGAAGAGGGCAGTGAAAGGGAAGTAGTACACTGACACGGTAGCTTTTTCATTGTTATGGAGTGTGTATATATAATATATATCTTTTATATTTATAAGTGAAAATATCTTTTTATATATATAAAATTAATCCGTTCCCATTCTGTTCCTGTTCTGCCCTTCCTCATTCCTTTTCTCTCTTAGATCCTCGCTGCACTTTTTATGCATGTGTGCAATTTTATCCTGTCCTCTTGACGTGGGTGTACAGGTTTCTCTTGCTTTGCCAAGGCTGCTGCTGTCTACGTAGCCCTTTGTGTGTACTTCTGGTAGTCAATCTACAGTGTACAAACTTGGAGTAAGGATCAGAGATGCTCGTCAGTCCTTTTCACTCTCCTCCACAGCTTGGTACTCATCTCCCGCAGCGGCAGATAGTACCAGGGCTCTTGCTGTTTGGGATCCTTGCTGCTGTTGTACCTCCAGATGATCAAAGTAGTGCTGTGGCGAATGGAGGGCGTATGTGTAAATGGCGTCAGAGCCTAAATAAGAAACACATATTTAAGGGGGGAAAAAATCAGAGAGAATCTTAGGTTTTTTGATGTTAGCACACAAAAGGGCTCCTGAAACCTTTTCTGACTCTCTGTTTCTGATTAAATATTTGATGACTGTGAGCTAATTCTGGATTTACACTGCAACCACTGTACTTGTGTTTGTAAGATGAGGGAGATTTTCTTCCTAAGGAAAAATACTAGATTTCTAAAAAAAAGTTTCATTTTTACGAGTGGCAGGAAGACAAGGAAGGCTGGGTTGGTTGCTGGCTAATGAGAAATACCCTTTACAGTTGTGTGAAATAAGGTGTCTGGCTCTTGTCTCGTCCTTCTCCCAAACAGGGATGTTTGTGAATAGACCTGGTGTGATGTCCTGACCGCCATGAGGTCAGTGAGAGTTTGCTCTGACTTCTGCAGGAACGAGTTCTCTCATCAGGAGACCACCAAATCCACCTCCCGTCTGCTGTAACGAAACAGTGTGGCTGAGCCCCGTCCTATCTCTGCTCCTGTGTTTATCGCGTAATTCCAGCCAGTGAATGCGACTGTCACACTAACGGTTTTACTTGCTTCCCGTTACATCTAGTGTTGTCTACCAAAGAGCGTCCCTCGATTGCCTGAGTTCTGTTGGTAATGGCCAACTTGAAGATTTTAATCAGCGTCAGGTCTAATTTGAAGTAGCTATTGATTAAACCTTAAACCCAATTTAATTCAACATAGAAATGTTTAATTTTATTTCTAATTATTTTCTCCAGCAAGGGAAGAAATCC